GTTTCCATCTTTGCTCACTATTGTTCATTAAAGGAGAGTGAAGGGGTTGAGAAGATAAAGTTGGACAGAGACAACTGAAGCTTTGAGAAAACAATCTAGCTTGGCTCAGAAACACATTAAAACCAAACCCGTTGCCCTCAAGTCTATTCCGACTCATAACGACCCTATAGGACGGAGTAGAACTGCTGCATAGGGTTTCCAAGGAGCACCTGGTGGATTCGAACTACTGACATTTTGGTTAGGGGCTGTAGCTTTTAATCACTACGCAACCAGGGTTTCCCAGAAACACATTAGCCAAGAGGAAATACACTTCCCAGCACCCCTCTGTGCACAAGAAACCCCTAGTGGGCAGAGAGGACCCTCTTGGAACCTGTGAAAGATGCATATTTGAACCCGAAGCCAGCCAGCCCTGTGAGTGACAGCATTAGGCTCAACCTTCTTGCCCTTGGGAAGAAAATGTGATGCTCCTCGACTTGCTCTTTCTTTGAGGCAGCAAAGAAGTAGAATACATTCATTCAGGTGAAGGGAAAAAAACATGGCATTTAAATTTATTCACTTATTCATTAAAATATTTCTTGGGGGCCTACTTTGTACCAGGCTCCCTGCCATCTTGGCGTTTTCCACCCAGCGGGGCAAACAGACATGCAACAAGTAATTACAAGAGTTACAATGGAAGTACATACGGCATCATCTACCAAGGATCAGGGAAGGATTCCCAGAGGCATTACTGATTCAGCTGTGATTTGAAGATGTAAAGGAATTAATGGACAAACAGTGAGGAAGCCTTCAGAAAGAGCAACTAGTTATGTTGGGCAAGAGGACGGTGCATTTGTGAAACTAAAATAAGTTATTATGGCTAGAGCTTAAAAAGCAAAGAAGAGAGTACCTTCCATGGGAGGTTCGAGGGGTAAGTGGGGTCATATCATGCAGGGTTTTTAGGCCTTGCTAAGGATTTGGGAATTTATATCCTAGAGGCAATAGGAAGCCACTGCAGCATTTTAAATGGTGGAATGAAATGCTCAGATTTTTATTTAAAAACGTCAAAATAGACAAGAGAGGGAAGAATAGTCAATAGTTATCTGAGTGACAGATACGGGTAATGTGGTCTGGAATATGGCAAAAATATACAGAAAAGTGGACAGACTTGCGAGTCAAGACAATCAATCTTTCACTTAAAAACTATTTCCTGGGGTCCCACTGTGCAGCAGGCACTGTGCTAGGCAATGGACATACTATGGCAAACAAAAAAGACCTGATTCCCACCCACACGGCACTTACAGTATCGTGGGGGATAGTCACTCAATAAATCATTATTTAAATTACATTTGCAATCAGTGCTAAGAAAAAAAAGTACAGGGACCTGAGAGAGCATGATCTAGGGGTAGAGACAGCGCTTGCTGCCTGGATGGATATCAGGGAGAAGGAAAAGATGTCTGGCTTGATGGTCACTTAGGTGAATGGTGGCATCATTATCAGGATGGAGACTAGATTCTAGGCAGGCTGGGGTAGGTAGGATAATGAGTTCCATTTTAGATAGGCTGGATTTAAGACGTTGGGTTAAGAAACTCAAGTGAAGCTATCCCAGCAGTGGGCAATGGGTGAGGAGAGAAGAATGGACTCAAGACATAAATACAGGAGTTGGCATCAGATCCCAGTGGAAGCCAAGTGAATGGATGAGGTCACCAAGGAGGAGAACTCAGAGTGACCAGAGCAGGTATTCTAAAACAATCTGAGCACAAAGACCATTTCTTATTCAGCACAGCACTTGCCCTGGACCTGACACATTGTAAGTACTAATGAATATTTTGTTTAATGAACCATGTAAAATCTTTAGTATATTAGTTGGGCAGTAGTAGATGCTCAATTAAACAGAAACTAGATTTCTATACCCTCATAGAAGATAAAGATATTCTGCAAATTCAGGGAGAAAGCACATTTCCTATGTAACGCCACTTCACTCTCTCTGCACACAAGAGAATGACTCTGTTGGTATTTGGATTAGAATGACATATTTCACTCTTACTGCTTCCTTGACTCCTGAAGCCAAAATACCAGGACTATATAGCCCGTCTTGTCTGGAAGCAGCAGTCAAGAAAACAAATGATGTATTGCAATGGGCAAATCTGCTGCAAAAGACCTCTTTAAAGTGTTAAAAAGCAAAGATGTCACTTTGAGGGCTAAGGTGCACCTGACCCAAGCCAAGGTATCTTCAATTGCCTCATGTGCATGTGCATGCGAAAGCTGGACAATGAACAAGTAAGGCTGAAGAAGAATTGACGCCTTTGAATTATGGTGTTGGCAAAGAATGTTGAATACACCATAGACTGCCAGAAAAATGAGCAAATCTGCCTTAGAAGTATAGCCAGAATGCTCCTTAGAAGTGAGGATGGTGAGACTTCATCTCACATACTTTGGACAGTTATCAGCAGGGATAAGTCCCTGGGGGAATCACGCTTGGTAAAGTAGAGGGTCAATGAAAAAAAGGAAGACCCTCAATGAGATGGATTGACACAGTGGTTGCAAAATGGGCCTAAGCATAGCAATGACCGTGAGGATGGTGCAGGATCGGGCAGTGTTTCGTTCTGCTGTATTCAGTGTCGCTATGAGTTGGAACTAACTCAAAGGCACCTAACAACAACTTGTCTGGATCTCCTGAAGATGTAAATAAGCTGGGTGGGGACAGTAGGTCAAAGAATTGGAAGGATCACTGTAGAAAGCATGCCTGTTCTGGGTTGCCTCACAGAACAGCAAGCTGAAAGTCTGCCATTCTCACTACTACATACTCAGCCATGCTAGTGGCACTCTCTGGTTAGACAGCTGATGCTCTCCAGGCGCTGAGACAGCCCACAAAGTACAGAAGCTTTCTTAGTCGTCTTAGAGATAGGCATCTGGAAGCCTGTCCGGGCTAGAGAACTAGGCCCCCAATACCATTCTCTGGACCATCATACATGTTAAAGGGGGTCAGGGGGCAGCCTTCTCAGATCTGCACATGGGCCTGGTCACGTTCTAAATGCTCCAGGGAAAAGATGCTGTTCAAACTCTACCTCAGAAAAGTGTTTTGGCCTCTGGCAGGATGAGGGAGGGAAATAGGCTTTCCTGGGCTGCCCGATCCGCCAGATTTAGAATAAAGAGCTTTTTCAGAGCCTGGAGTTTTCCAGCTGCCTGGAAACAGGAAGCGCCCAATCCTTTAGAACAGTAACCCTCACACACACCCTACATAAAGACATGTTGAGCCATTAGCCCTAATTGCCTGTGACTGACACAGGAGTGAAGCCGGCCTTCCAGGCATTTGCTCAGCGGAAAGAAAACAAACAGCTCACAGGGGACGCAGGCAGCCATTTTCTCTCCTTCTGCCAACATGGTTCTGCTCTGCTCCCCCAAAATTATAGCATACAGATTTGAAATTATAAACAAAACAAAGGTCTTTCAAGTAGTCTTTACCCCATACAAAAGAGAAAAGACATCTCTGTAGGGAGTAATTGGACATAAGTGATTGGTTATTAATTTTTTCACAAAATCAAACAATTCACAAAAATTTTTCAGAGTCGCCTCTCAACCCTCCTGATTCTCTCCAGGTTTTCAGTATTAAGTATATCTGCAACACTCTTCATTCCTTCAGTTTACTTAAGTAAGAGAGATGCGTTAGGTAGGTGCCAAGTGCTAGAGATCCAATATGTACATGGTAAAAATTGCATAGTCCTTCAGATTTAGGGTTTTTGTTTCAACAGCTGAGTTCTAAAGTGGATTAAGAACAATACAGCACATTATACATCAAGCAAGAGGAGAGGCATCTGTTTCTTTTCCTTTATGATTGTAAGGGCCCAGAAGACCATCCCCACACACCACATCAAGCAAACATCGGCCTGATAGTGACTGCAGCCATACAAACACTGGTTTCCTTGGTACCAAACTAATAACCAAGACAGACGGCAGGCCCACAATAGGACTGTCGCTGACTACGAGTCACTGAGACAAGACTTCACTGTCCAGTTCAGAAGCAATCCCCTCCTTTATGGTTCCTTCACAAGCACTTCAAAAATATCATTCACCAGGTCCAACACCCATCATTCCCTGGGTGCTTCACACACATCTTATCTGAGCCTCTCAATTTCCTGGAGAGATATGTATGGTTATTATCTCCACATTACAGGGAGGACATGAGCTCAGAGTCAATAATTCACTCAGTCAAGGCCACATAGCATGGAGCAAGGATTCAAACCTAGATCTATTTGATTCCCAAGTCCATGCTCTTAATCGCCACTCACTATATAGCCAAACTTGGTCTTCCCTTTGGCTTACTGAGGCCAATCTTCTTACCACCCAGGGTCTTTACCATAAGATTTAATTCTGACCTAAAGAACGGCAAGAAAACTGGCAGCCCACGTTAACATCAAACCTGGCTATGGGGAGCCAAAAAAAAAAAAAAAATCCACTGCCATCAAGTTGATTCTGACTCATAGCAACCCTATAGGACAGAGTAGAACTACCCCATAGGTTTCCAAGGAGCAGCTGGTGGATTCAAACTGCCAACGTTTTGGCTAGTAACTGAGCTCTTAACCACTGTGCCACCAGGGCTCCACAGGGAGTCAGACACCATACAATATCAGAGTCTAAGCCTAAGTCCTCTATAGGAAGATAAGATACTAATCAACAGAGAAAAGCCGTTTTCTAGACGGGATCTATGCACACACCCTCCAATGATTTAGGAAGGCAAAATGAGCTCCTTGTTCTATAAAAGCCACACTCAAAGAGTCAAGCTATTCATTTAAACTCACAGTATAAGGTAGTAGTGATTCTGTCCTAGATGATTTAGATTCTTTTTAAGATTTATGTAGAGCAAGCAGTTCTTCCATACCCCCCGGCTCCTATGCATGGCAGCCTCCCCTCTCCCCAGAGACCACCGGCCACTTGGTAATAAATAACCATGTTGTTTCTGCCCCGGTGAGGGAGCCTTGGTCTTCACAGGGGGAAAGCGCTGTTGGGGGACAGAAGCCACTCACCCAGCAGGCAGAGCATCAGGGGCCTGGGCAGTCGTTGAGAGCTGCTGAGTGCCCGAGGTGCCTGGCTCCTCTCCTTCAGCTGGTGTGGCTGGTGCAGGGAGAGAGGCTGCATTGGGGTTCAGGGTCACATTCGACACTGCAGCAGGTGAGGATGTCACACCAACAACAGAAGGTTCTTCAGGGTCAGTGGCTGCAGTGGCTTCGTCATTCACTGAAAACACAGAAATCATATTTTAAAGATTAGCTAAGAATTCTGCTCACATTTACTAGTTGTTCACTGTTCATTTAACATGCTAACTAACACACCACCTATAATGTTACCATAAGTGTATCAGGTGACAGGAAAAGGTTTCACAGTACATAACTTAGGAAATTACAGCAAGCCAGTCGTGCCTGCTCAAAAAAAAGAGATAAATCTGAAACAATTAAATACCACCTCTTTTTTATATAACTTGATTAGGTTTTTATAACATACTGTGGTTACATTTATTACAATAAAAAAGTAGCAGGAAAGATGAAGTCACAGGGAAGTGTTTTGGTGCTAAAAGGAGCAAGGCCAAAGCCAAATTTATAGGATCATATACTTTTTAAACTTGTCAATAGTCTACAAGGCAAGAATAACACTTTCCTTCAAAAAGTTCCATACAATATCAGTCCAAAGGACTAATGGACCACATGAACCACCGCCTCCACCAGCCTGAGCCCAGAAGAACTACATGGTGCCCAGCTACCACCACCGACCACCGTAACAGGGATCACAATAGATGGTTCCAGACGGAGTGGAAGAAAAATGTAAAATAAAATTTAAATTCACAAAAAAAGACCAGACTTACTGGTCTGACAGAGACTGGAGGAACCCCGAGACTATGGCCCCTGGACACCCTGCTAATTCAGAACTGAAGCCACTCCCGAAGTCCACCTTTCAGCCAAAGATTAGACAGGCCTATAAGACAAACGATAACACACATGAGGAGTGTCCTCCTTAGTTCAATCTAGTATGGAGATTAAATGCGCAACACCTGCCCAAAAGCAAAGAGGAGAAGGCAGGAAGGGACAGGAAACCAGAAAGAACGGAAACCAGGAACCCAAAGTATAAAGGGAAAGACACATTGTCGGGATTGCAACCAATGTCATAAAACAATCTGTGTATAAATTTTTGAATGAGAAACTAATTTGTGCTGTAAACTTTCACCTAAAACACAATAAAGTTTTTTTAAAAAGAAATAGTAAACAGAAAAAAAAAGCTCCATACACAAGAAAAGGCAGAAAACTTCCAATAATGTTCTTATTCTTTTAAAGATTCATGCTCAGAGTAGGAAGCAAGGATTAGTACTCCAGATGAAAAAGATGGGGCTCAGAAGCTAAGGTACTTGTCTCCAAGGTAACAAAGGACAGAGACAGAAGTGAAATAAGCTAGTTGCCACGTCTCCTTATTTCTCTGCTTCTTCATTTCTTTGATGATCACATATGTTCACAAGGACCCCCAAGGCACTGCAATATCCTCTACATCAAAAAAGAGTCAAATACCCTGGTCTCTCCATCACCCCAGAACTAAAACAATTTCTGAGGCCAACTCTTCAGACAGGGATTGGACTGGACGTGGGACATAAAGTGATATTCGTGAAGAATGTGCCTCCTAGACAAGTAGATATAAGAGACCAAAGGGGCGGCTTCTGTCCAGAGGTGAGAGGGGAAGGCAGAGAGAGTTAGGAGCTGGTTGAATGTTCATGGGGAATCAGGGGCGGAGGGGAGGAGTGTGCTGTCGCAGAATGAGGTGAGCAGTTGGGGTCTCATAACAATGTATGTTAAAAAAAAAAAAATTCTTATGGGAGACTAACTTGAAATGTAAACTTCATTTAATTACATCAATAAAAAAGAAAGAGTCAAATAAGTTTTTTGAAGAATTACAATTCTTTGAAAATAAATAAGCAATATGCAGAGAATTTTCTATACATGTGATAGCATATGTGCACATTTATACTAGAATTTCGTAGGAAAAACCCTTAGTTGTCTTTTAGCCTCATCTTCCTAATTCAAAAATTCTTTTTGTAGTTTCCCTAACAAATGGTTATCCAGCTTCTTGAACATTCCTCTGACAGGGAGCTCACTACAGAGCCATTTTATCGTTGAACAGATGTAACTACCAGAAAGTTTTTATTACGTTAAGCTGCATTCAACTAGCTGATCTTAGTTTCCTATCCCCATACCAAAACAATGCAAAACAAGTATCTCGCTACCCTATTTCTCATTAGCCATCCCTTTCCCAGAGTAAAGGCCTACCATTTCTTTAACGTTTCTTGAATGGCCCTGTTTCCAGCAACCCTGTGCTTACCATGCATCTGGCTGCCCTCTTCTAGATACCATCTTCTACTGCTGCTTTTAAATAATGTTATCAGGAATTGAACATAATAATTCAAATACCATCAGACCAGCAGAGTCAGATTACAAATATAAATGGCAATATAAATACACTAGTTAACCTTTGGAAGAAAGGCCTGGTGATCTACTGCCAAAAAGCAGCCAATGAAAACCCAATTAAACTCAATTAAATCACAATGGTCTAATCTGCAACCAATCATGGGGATGGCGTAGCTCCTGGCAGCGTTTCATTCCATTGTGCATGGGGTCTCGATGAGTCAGGAGTCGACTCAAAGGCAGCTGACAACAACAACCGCTAACATTTATGGAACACTTGGTGTGTGCCAGACGAGGTGCAAAGCACTTTACACGGATTATCTCATTTAAACCTCACATGCAATCAGCCCCACATGAGTAAAGTACAACTAATATCCCCCATTTTACAGCTGAGGAAACTGAGTCTCAAAGAGGTTAATAACCTGCCCAGGGTCACACAGCAACTATTTCACAACCCTACTGTCTGCTTCGAGTCAGAATCAACTCAACAACAACGGGTTTTAACGAGACTGTCTGTCTCCAGAGCCTGAACCACTCACTCACACACTCTACTCCTCCCTCTGCACATGCTCTAATGCGACCCAAGATTGTAATAACTCTGAAACAACCACATGACCCAGTTGGCTAACATGAGATTGGCTGTCAGCTGAAACTAAAATTTCTTCACAAGATGTGATGTCAAGCTTGATCTTACCACATACCAAGGGCCTGAGGCTAGGGACGGCCTACAATTTATTCATTTGCTTTCTCCCCTGTGTATGAAATACTATCTGGCACATAAATTAAATAACTTGTTTAATAAATGACTAAATCCTGTGCAATTGATGTTTCCCCAACATAAATGCAAAATTTTGTATTTATATGACTATTCTATCTCATCCAAGTTAGTAAAACACAATAGATGCCAATTCTCTTTATGTAAATCTACAACTCTAACTCAATTCTAACTTAAAAAAACACAATCATGACTTTTTTGAGAACTAGATAAATTCATTCTAAAATGCATAAGGAAAAATATATACACAAGAATAGCTATGAAAATTCTAAAGAAGAACAGTGTGTAGGAAGACTAGTTCTCTAAAGTATTAAAATATACTGTAAGGCTACAACAATTAAAACGATGTGGTACTGCTAGATGAATACAAGAAAATTCAGAAGTAGAATTCAATATACATACCAATTTAGTATATCACAAAGATGGCACTTTATTCATTTATTTTTTTACAAAGATGGAATTTTAAACAGATTATTCAATAAACAGTGCTGGGACAACTAGGTAGTATACTAGGAAAAGAATTAAGTTGTACCCCTACCCCATTCTTTATACCAAAATAAATTCGAGATGGATCAGAAATGTTGACATAAAAAATGAAATTACCAAAAAACTTGTTGCCATCAAGTCGATTCTGACTCATAGTGACCCTATAGGACAGAGTAGAACTGCCCCATGGGGTTTTCAAGGAGCACCTGGTGGATTTGAACTGTCAACCTTTTGGTTAGCAACCGTAGCTCTTAACCACTATGCCACTAGGGTTTCCAAAACTACAGAGGAACTAAAGAAAACAGGGAAGAATATTTTCATAATCTCAAAGTGAAAACTTTCTTTAAGTATCACATAAAATGTAGAAGTCATAAAAGATTGATGAATTCAACTACATTAAAATTAAAAATTTCTACATAGCAAAAACATCACAAGCAAAGTCAAAAGGAAAACAACAAACTGGGAAAATTATTACCAACTCATATTACAAACCAATTGCTAATTTCTTTCATATGAAAAAGAACCCCTACAAATCAATAAGAAAAAGATAAAAAATATGAACAAACACCTAACAGTAAGGAAATATAAATTACTCTTACACATATGAAAAATGATCAATTTCAATTATGATACAAGAAATGTAATTTAAGGCTATAATGAAATACCATTTTTTAATTTATCAGACTGACCGGGATGAAAATGTTTAATCACACACTGGTAAGAGTATAACAAAAACAGGCATTTTCACATACTGCTGGTGGAAGTGGAAATTGCTAAGAAGTCTTTGGAGAACAGTTTGGTAATATCAAAAATTTAAATGCAATAATTTGGGAGTAAGGAGGAAAAGTGGGGAGAAGAGAGGTGGATGGGCCTGTAGATAAAATTAAAATGGCCATGAGTCAATAACAGTTGAAGTTGGGTGATGGGTTCATTTCAATATTCTTTTAAATTTTATATATATTCAATTTTTGTGGCATGGATGGAGAAGGCATATATTGTCTGGTTGTCTCTCTTTTGCCATGTTAGCCACCATTCATGATTGTTGCCTAAATCCATTAATTCACTGGAGGCTGCAAAACAGTAATATTCTAATTCTATTAAAGACCAAAAAAACTCGTGACTCATAGCAACCCTATAGGACAAAGTAGAACTGCCTCATAGGGTTTCCAAGCAGTAACTGGTAGATTCAAACTGAGGACCTTTTGGTTAGAGCAGAGCTCTTAACCACTGTTGTCACAAAGTCTCCTAACTCTATTAAACCTTCCTCATTTATTGGCTGGAATACGCTTATAAAGAGAAATGTCTGTCGTGGATTGAACTGTGTCCCCCCAAAATACCTGTCAACTTGGCTAGGTCATAATTCCCAGTGTTGTATGATTGTCTACCATTTTATCATCTGATATGATTTCCCTATATGTTGTAAATTCTATCACTATGATGTAATAAGATGGATCAGTGGCAGTTATATTGATGAGATCTACGAGATTGGATAGTGTCTTAAGCCAATCTCTTTTGAGATATGAAAGAGAAAAGTG